AAGGCCTTTGGAGCGGCCGCTCTAAAAGGTAGAAGCGAGCGCTCCTCACTACTACAAACTTCATTTGACGACCTTAGGAGCGAGCACTCCACTGAGAGGAGCGGGAGCTCCAATTGAGGGGAGCGAGCGCTCCTCGTGACTGCCTGAACAACTTAACTTCAAACGTTCATAACTTCTTCATTTCTGGGTCAAATTTGGCATATAATCTATCATTGGAAAGTTCTCGGATTCTACTTTCATCTCCAAATGAATCACCTAAAAATTCCTTATTACAAAAAAAGATATGGTTGATTGAATTTGAGTATTACATTTTTTATCAAGTACAAATCTTTCTTTTTTCATCCTTATTTCCATGCTTCATCTTCAACCATCACTTGTAAAATTAAGACACATGCAAGGATTTTTCTTAGGAAAAATTGCATTAAATAATACGACCTTTACCCCATCCGCTAATAACAAGTTGACCTTTTGTTTATTTCAGAATAATACGACCTTTGGGGGGTGTCCGCTTTAAACAAGTTGTAACCTGTTGGTAACCTGATTAATAGGTTATATGGACACGTGTCATGATTTTATTGGTCTAAAAATATAATTTTTTTAATTAAAAAAGTTAATAAAAAAAACCCCATCCCCTCCAATCCCCTCCCCATTCTGGTTTGTGCGCCACTCCCCCCTTTCCGTTTGGCCACCATGGCACTATGGCAAACCCCCGAAACCAATACCACCTCAACCACTACCATCCCAGCCCCACCCAAACCCACGACCTAGCGCAGCGCCAGTGCCGCACCACCACCCAGCCCAATGCCGGTGCCACCCCTTTCCCCTCAACCACCTCGAATTTCCCCTCCCTCTCTTTTGCTATCGCTTCTTCCACCAGCAATAACATCTCACATAACCCCCCTTGCAAATCACCGCCTCACAAACCCACAACACCAGACCCACGACCACCACCTGACCACAGCCAGCTCCACCACAATCACCCAACATACCACAAAAACTAGCTCGCAAAAACCCTTTCACCTGCAAAAACCAGCCCCAAAGTTGCTCACCGCTAGCATCTTTTTGGTTTCGGGTTTGGGTGTGGTGAGTGGGAGTGGTGGTCACGGGTCTGGGTTTAAGTGGGGTCGTGGTCTTGGTTGTGGTTTCGGGTTTGGGGATGGTGGGTGGGGGTGGTGGTCACGGGTCTGGGTTTAGGTGGGGTCGTGGTCTTGGTTGTGGTTTCGGGTTTGGGTGTGGTGGGTGGGGGTGGTGGTCATGGGTCTGGGTTTAGGTGGGTGGGGATGGTGGTGGGCTAGCTCTGGTGAAGAAGGGGGTTATTGGTGGTGGTTGGGCAGAGTGCCTAGTGACGGAGAAGAGGCAAAAGGAGGTGGGTAAGTAAGGGAGTGGTGGGGGAGTGGTGGTAAGGGAGGAGGGTGATGGGTGGTCGCGGGGTAGGAGAAGGGGCTAATTCTATTTTTTGTTTTTTTATTTTGTTTTTTTGATTTAAATGTTAATAAATCATAATTGAAGTTGTTATTAAGAGTTAATGACATTGTTAAATGAATTTATTAAAAGAAAATTAAAAATTTAACCGGTTATTCAGGTTGTAGGTAAAATAACTTGTTTAAAGCGAACACCCCCCAAAGGTCGTATTATTCTGAAATAAACAAAAGTTCAACTTGTTTTTAGCGGACAGAGCAAAGGTCGTATTATTTAATGCAATTTTTCCTTTTTCTTATTCACCTAATCCACATCATAACATAGGGAAATCGTCCAAAATGTTGATTGAGCTATAATTGCCACTACAAGGATTATATAGTCATATAACCCATAGGTTTTAAGGACGCTCTCGCATCGAAAATGGCACGCAAATCAAGCGAAACCAAGCAAAAACACGCATTATTCAAGACTAAAGGCAAAACTCGCAAACTAAGAAATTATTGATCAAAAAACATAAAATCATGCTAAAACACACCTAAAATTAGGGAAGACATCTAGCCTAAGAGTGCCATAAATGTCACTCATCAACAATAGATAAAAATAATATATTATCATGTAAATTATTTTTGGATCGGTCTTCAAATATATCTTCATTGTATTAATCTTTTGCATTTCTTATTAATGTATTACATATATTAATGGTTAAAATTGTACATTAACACGTGTGTTTGTCAAACCTTTTAAATACTTCCTTTGTTACGTATTACTCGCAACAAAGGGATTATGCAGGGACTTTTAGGCAAAATCTTAAATATACTTATTGAAAAATAAAAGCATGTACTTAAGTGCATTAATTCAATCCAAAAAAAAAATTTTTTTTACCAAAAATTAAACTTAACCACCCAGCACCATGAAACCACGAACCACCACCACCACCTAGCACCACCCTCCAACACCACGAAATCATCAAGCACAAACCGACGAACCCTAAAACCCACAACCCAGAAACTTGCACTTGAACTCAAACCCAGAACCCCAAAACCCATAACCCCAAAACCCACAACCCACGAACCTAAAACCTGAACCCATGAAAACCCAAAACACGAATTCAAACCCTTACCCACGAAAATCATCAGATATGGAAAACCCACAACGAAAGGGTGGTCTTCTTCAATAATTTATGAGAATGGGGTTGGAGGAGGAGAGAGAAAAACAATGGGGATGGAAGAAGATGAAGGAAGAGAGAGAAAGATTACAGAGAAGATGATTCTAGAAAGATAAGATGAGTTTAATTAGATTAGATTAGTTTTAATTAATTATGTTTAAAGTATGTAATTGAGGTAATAAAGTTTTATGAAAGGGTGTTTTTGTAATTTCATTTAAAAAAATTTACTAAAAATGGAAACATTTGGAAATGTTGTGAGTAATATGTAGCGGTCGTTTTTAGTAAATGTTGTGAGTAATATGAAACAGAGGGAGTATGTAAATTATACATACTTTTGTATGGTCTTATATACCAATAACTTTTTAATGGTGCTAAATATCTTCATAATGGTACCATAAAAAATACCAATAGAATTTTCTAGATTCTCTCTCAATAGCCATGTCACATGTGACCTATTTCACTCTTTTCTACCAACTTTTTCTCTCTATTCTATTGACTTTATCTTCATCGTGTCGTATGAAAAGACAACACTACCTCGATATGTATGATGCTCACACATACCTACCTATATGCACCCAACAAGCAGCAAGTCATGTGTTTACTTGGTAGACCTATGCATTACGTGAGATCCCACTTAATAGCCCTAATTCAACCTAGTATTAATGGTCCGACTTGGTTGACTATATAAATCGATAAGCGGGATGGGCTTAAGACGGTTTAAACATATATGAGCCACCAATGACTTGACTCGATCTATTTAAGAATATACTCGACCTTGACTTAGCTCATACATACCATACCTAACCTGTTACATAGGTCTACTAGCTAGCCACATTATATGTTCATTTCACCTTAAAACAAATAAGAAAAATTGACATTATTAATCCTAACTTTGGGCCATTTACTTTAATTAATCCCAACTTTTGATTATTTTTTAATAATCTCAACTTTGGAGGGCATTTTCTTTTAACAAGCCAAATGACCAGTGACCTAATGAAGAAGTTTTTTTTTTATTTTTTTTTTTTATTTTTTTTTTTTTTGTAAATGCCACATGTCTTATTATCACTGGTCAAAAAAATATATGAAAGAAAAGCAAAAAAACTCATAAAATTAAAAAAACACACACACACACACACACAACCACCATTACCAACCTCCTGCCCCCACCGGCCAGCCACCAAGCTGGTGCCCAAAACCCCAACCCACCTCCCTCCCTGCGTTGGTGTCAGATCCTCTACGTTACCCACCTCCCCTCCTCCTTTCCCCTTCGCCGATGCTCAAACGCACCTCCGCCCTCCTTCTCTCCCACTCACGAAAACCACCGATCTCCCTCATTAATTAAAAATAAACCAAAGTTTCATGTGATTATCTGATCAACCTGCTCACATATTGTAAGATTCAATAAAAAAAAAACCATAAATTTGTAATACAATATAAGATTGAAATTCAAGAAAAACCTAGAAAATGTTGAGAGCATCGACAACAGAGACGAGTTTGGGATTGTTGGAGGAGAAAGAAAGAAGGCAGCAAAGTAAAGGTCCGTTTTGGGCAGTAGTGACATCGGAGTAGCTGTTAAGGTATTCCGATCCTATGAGGGGCGTTTGGTGGTTTCCGTGAGTGGGGAGGAAGATCAGGGTTGTTGTGTGCGACGCAAGGGGTGGTGACTAGGGGCGGGTGGAGGGGCGACGCTAGAGGTGAGAGAGGGCCAGTGGGCCGGCGAGGGAGGGGAGTGGGATTGGGTGATCAGAGTGGGGGTTAGGGTGGTCCGGTGAGGGGAAAGGGAAAGGCTGGTTTTTTTTTTTTCAATTTTTTAATTTTTGTAATTTTTTTTTAGGCCAATCAGGCTTGACACGTGTCAAGTAATCTGTTACAATAGGTCATTAACTTTTGTTGACCGGTCATAACCTGATAGGAGAAAATGCCTCCAAGTTGGGATTATTAAAAAATAATCGAAAGTTGGGATTAAAAATACCAATTTTTCCAAAAAAAATATTCAATAGAAATAAGTTCAGTTTAGTAAAAACAATTTCAGTTCAGTAAAATCAGTTACTTTAAAAAGAAATATCACAGAGAATCAGTAAAAATAAATTCAGTTTAGTAAAAATAATTTAAGTTTAGCAAAAATGATTTCAGTTCAACAAAGATAAGGTGAAATGAACAAGCCTAAGTCATATCTTTATATGTAAGGATGGAGGATGTGCATTACGAAAATACAATTACGTCAATTATTAGAGATGTTATTATTGTGATACTGATCCAGTTGAATTATTTGACATATAAAATCATAGCACAAATTACATGCATTTAGGCCTATAGGGCTAATACTAACTTCATTCTCAAAATGACCTAAACATTTCGCAAGATCAATTTACTAATAACATTGTAGGAAAGGTATATTGTAAAATCAGAAAATGTAAAAGATACGTGGGCAGAATATTTGATGCATGTGAACGTTGTGACGTGTTGAAAACGTTGTCTTAGAAGCAAAATTCCTATTTACTTGGCATTCTTTCGGTCTTTCCACTAAATATAAACTTATTTTAGCATTTTTTTTTTTTTTTTTGGGTGCGGTGGCACTGATTAGAGACGCTATTTTAAAATTAGACCAGGTGATGAACCCTAACATAAGAAGGTTCACATAGTTGGGAGCTCACACAAAAATGGCAAGCGAAGGTAAACCAAACGCAAGCAATGGAATTGGCAATGGAAATGGCGGAGGATTCAAAGCTAAACTAAACCACTTTCTCTACAGTGGAGAGAAGAAGCACGTCTTTGTAGGGTTGACCATTATTACTGCTGTTTTCGCCGTTCCTTGGTACTACATGACCCGAGGTCCATTCTTTCTCTCTCCTCTTTCATCTTGTGTTTATGATTCATTTATGCAATTCTTTGTATTGGGTTTTATCAGTTGGGTTTTTCTTGCATTTTTTGTTTTGTTGGGGTTGAATTTGTTTCATGGAAAATTATGAATTAGGCTTTTATTTTGATAGTTTTATAGATGTTTGTTTTTAATTGTATTTCTGTAGGATTATTATGATCATGATTATGTTATGATTCTTTGAGTTGTTAGTGGAACCCCTTTCAAAGAGATGTGTTGTGTTTCCTTTTGATTCAGTAATGTGAGGTAGAGGACTTGAAGGTTGTCAAAGGTTGGGAATAATTGAATATGAGTGATTTTGGGATTGACGAGCTCTAGTAGCCCGGTCGAGGAATGCGCCTTTTTCATCAAAATTTACGGGTATATCACAGTAGTTGAATTGGAATGGCCTCTTTCATGGGCTGTGTACCTGCAATCCCTGTTCTAATATTTCGTCCTTAGTTTGATCATCTTTAGAGGTGTTTGATAGATGTTGCTGATTGATTTTAATGGAATTGTTTGGATGCAGATGTAATTAAAAAGCTTTAGAGTATGAGCTAGTTTAGTATTCTTGGTTTCGTTAACTTTTGACCTGAGTTTTTGGTTTGATTCAATTGGCTTTATCATTTAGCTCACATTTTGGTTTGGACCATCAACTCTAGCACTAGGCCACTGATAATATTAATTTACAGTTCTTCACATGCAAGTGGTGCATTAACCCAAAGACTTATCCAAACTAACTGTACATTGATCCCTTTGTCCTTTGCTTAAGAAAATCACAATTGATCAAATGGGATGGGAAGAAGAACAGTGAAAGTGATTGTTCTATTTTACTGCATAATTAAATCAAATCCTACATAAATGATTGAGTAAATTGCAATTGCTACAAATGTCTGTACCCTTCATTAGAAGTGATTTTAAGATGGCATCAAGTGTACCATCTCACCATCAGAATCACACTGATGAAGGGTGTCATTTGACGAGAATATGTTACAAGTACATTATTGCTGTGCTATATAAGAAATCGTGCTATTGAAAAAAGGAGAAGGGTGTCATTTAATGAGATTATTTTATATGTTTAGTAGTCTTTTGTATTATTCTGATTACAGGCTTCAGTTTATCAGTCGTTCTTTTCTGATAACTGCATCAACCATATAGAAAGATTTGATATATGCATAAGGCTCAACTGACTGTCTTCTTGCAATGATGCATATTTATGCTGTAATGGTTTCTTTGCATGTTAGAATCTTCTGCTTCAGGTACAATTAGAGTTTCCTTAGGGTCCATATTTTGACTTGTCAACCTCTAGACTTAAACATGTTAGCCGACCCCAAATCATTTTGGGAATAAGGCTTTGTTGTTGTTGTTGTTGTAACCTCCAGACTTAAACCTCACGGACTTGATAAATGAGATACAAATTATAGGCTGCGTTTTGTTGTGGGTTCCAGGAACAGGATAAGGAATCTTCTCTGTTACTTCTCTATTGTTTGTTTTTTTGTTTTTGTTTTTTTTTTTTTATAATTTTTATTTTTCCTTTTCTCTTTAACCAGTGTTCCCAAATCTCTCTGTGATGGCCATAGGGAATGGTTCCGACCTCTCTACTCCCCTTCGCATTTCAAATCACACATCCTCCTCTATTCCATCATCCTCGCACGTCATCTTAAACCATCCATCTCTTCTCCCACCACAGTGTAGCCTCACTGCCACTTATCACCACCTCAACAAATCAATCTCTTCACTGGTGTTAAATAGAGTTTTATGTGTTGGAGAGGGTAAAGAGAGGTATTTATTGTTGTAATTTGCCATTACTCATTCCTATTGACCATCGGAGTGATAATTACTGTTACTTCTTTTTCAATTTGTTGGCTGTCAACATATGCACTTTTAAACTCTGGTCATATGTTGTTTGATGAGCTAATATCAAAGTGTCACTTATATTATATATGCCCGACGTCTACATTAATCCATTTGGAATATTAAATTGGTAGAAATTGCATTACACTGATATTCAACCTTTGGCAACTCTTCTGCAGTATGTGAGTCATAAAATAATTTTGCAACTTATTGACCACCATTTTCATGAAAATGTTTTGGTAGATTTTCCTTTTTAATGTGCAATCAAGTTAGCTGACCGACAGTTTTCTCAGTTAGAGTAGATGTATCTTGGGCAATAAGTTATGTTTCACTAGTTATGATAAACAAATTAGCATTCTCTTGTGTGCTATGGTATCTCAACCTCCATTCTGTGTATCAAAACTGGCATTATAATGTTGGAGGTAGCTAGTCTTCGAAGTGATGGTATAAACTATAAAGCTAGCACTATGCTAATTGTTTATTAGTATACACCACAATTCCTTGGTTTTGACAGCTTCTCTGCTTCAAATATCTGAATTTGTCTGAGTGCTTCAATGAGTCAGTGACTCATCTTTGTCGTGCTTAGTGGCATTGTTAAAAAACAGGTTTTTGACTTTTCATTTTGAATACTTTTTACCGCCAACATTTTTTTTAATTGAAAATGCTTTCCTAATGATCTTGCCAGAACTGCTAGTTATGATATAATGACTCTGTTATAGCTGGCCTTCCCACTTTCCCAGTGTTGCCATGAAAAGATTGATACTAGGTTGTTATTTGTACTTAACTGTATTTTTACTTTGTTGCTATGTCTGAAACTGTCTCTATCTTTTTTAAAGGATCTAAGCAACAATCTCATCAAGACTACCTGGAAAAGGCAGAAAAGGCTGACAAAGCGAGGAGCGCACGACTCTCTTCATCTTCAGCTAAATGATAGCACTCATTTGAAATTGTACCTGATATGCTGATTAATCGCTCAACAGTTTTCTTCATCAGCTGAACGATAGTGTACCAGCTTTTAAAGGATTGGTTGGTTGTTTGCTCCATGAGTGAAGTCTGTTCATTTTCTTTCTTTGTTAACACTAAATTTAATTCACAGGAATAGTAAAGAGGAAGATATATTTTTTGTGCTTGATGAGAGAAAACCGTTCAGTTTCTACTTTTTGTGATGCTCTTATATGCTTAGCTTAATGATTCTATTAGAGGCAAATAATTCAGAGCTTTAGTTTAATAAAATATTTTGCAAATTGCTTAATACTAAGTACACTTTATTTCAACCTCAAGTAACTATTAATTGCTTATAGTACTTTTGCTCTAGAACTACGAATTTTGAATTGCTTAAGACTCTTTTAAGTCTCTTTATTGCAACCAAGCGACTCTGTTATTGCTTATTCTACTTGTGCTCCTTTTTGATATTTGGCCATCACACTGTTAAATGAAGTTTAGTAAACTGTTAAGCATCGTAGGTGTAGTAAAAGGTCACTTGACAATTGACTTTCTATTTTATATTCCCAGCAAATTGCAACTGTTAGTGGTGACACAATGTCACTTCAATGAGTTAATGGTCAACCAAAAGCATAATACAAAGTAGATATTGGAGCTCAGTAAATCAGCTTGGAATTGATCTAGTAGGAACCTATGATTGTTAATACATCATATTAATGTCAAAGATATGTCAATTACCATTTTCTTAGAGACCTCGGTACATATAAAAGACATTCTATAATCAATTGGGTGTTGGTGTAGTGGTGATTGGGACTACACTTGGTAGGGAGAATCGCGTGTTCGATCCCCCGCAACAACAATTGGGAGGGGACTGAAACCTAACCACTCAGAACTAATCCTCGAATCCGGATTAGCCCAAGGGTGAACCGGGCAAAACACCAAAAAAAAAAATCAATAAATAAATAAAAGATATTCTACAGATTCCCAATCTTTTCTATTGAATCATCAGTGATTACGATTTTCTCAAGGACATAGTATCCATAGTTCATGTATACAATGTAAGTTTTGTAATATATACTAGGTAGTTGGGGATGAATATTTCCAAATAATTGGCAATGAACGTTGACGCACACTGTTGGTTCACCGTCATGCTTCAATATAATTTCAATTTTCCATGGGGCTGTTAAATGTTGCTCCCAATTTACAAGGCGTCGCTCGTATTTTTTCCATGAAATTCCGTATTTACCCCTCATATATAAATACTCCCGACACTCACTCACGACACTTACAACACATTTCACGCTCATACTTCTCTCTCTAAAATTTAAAATTCTCTCCAAAAATTAAAAAATCGGAATTTTTTTTTAAATTTAAAAAAAAATCTGAAAAAAATAAAAAACAGAAAATTCAAAAGAAAAACACCCACAACCCACCACCAATCCAAGGAGGGTAGAAGAAATCCGGCGATGGCAGACCCCCGACGAATCAGGGTGATGTACGGTGGTCGTGGCGGCGGCATTGGAGGCGGCGAACAAGTAAGTTACGGGAATTTGTTGGTTAAATCGGAAAAAAAAAAATTAAAAAGTTTCGGAAATTTGGGACATCCGCCTGAAATTTCTGGATGTCCCAACGAGGATCCTGAAATTTTAGGCGGATCCTCGTTGGTTTTCCGGAATTTTTAGGCGGATGCATATCCGAAATATTTTTTTTCGTGATTAATTTTTTTCGTGCTTAATATATATATATTTTTTTCATAATTAATATTTTTTAAATAACCGATTAATATTATTATTATTAGTAATGTTATTAGTATTAGGATTGTTATTATTATTAGCAATATTCCTATTACTATCACTGTTGTTGTTATTATAATTGTTGGGAATATTATTATTATTATTGTTATTGTTATTAGTATTATTATCATTATTATTATTATTATTATTATTATTATTATTATTATTATTGTTGTTGTTGTTGTTGTTGTAATATTGTTAGTAGTAGTATGTTGCGAAATTTGTGGTTTATTATTATTGTTATTAATATTGTTATTATTATTATTGTAATTATTATTTGTTTTTTTTTTGAAATTATTTTTTTGAATTTGAATATTAATCGTTCAACTTTAATATCATAGTTATATTTGTAATTATTACTGATATTTGATTTTGTACTTATTTAATGTAGATTGAGGGTTCGGGTGCTCGTCATGCAATATCAAGACGTTTGAATGCGTCTGTTAGGAGGGAGTCAGGTCGTTCAGTAATTATAGGGTCACCGTTTCATCATGAGCGACAATATGGGTCTCCTGGTACTTGGTTGGGGGAGCATCAGTCACAAGGGAGCCTCCCCATGTACTCGTTGGGTGGAGTGCCTACATCTGAAAATGAGGACGAAGAGCAGGCAAGTCATGCTGAACGAGATGAAGAGTATGACCCTCAGGATTATCATATGGTATATAGGGGTCAGCATGGGAGATTTGTTAGTAGTAGTCAAGCGAGTCAACCTTCTACCAGCTCAGCAGAGACATGGTTAGTGCAGCAGCCGATGCCAGGTGGTCTTGAGGATGGTATTGTTATACCTAGTTTTGGTGGTCACGTGGCTGCATATATATGGGGCGGACAGGAGCGTAATGTTTTGCGCTGTTTGAGCAAGACACAGTTGTGTTTTGAATTGGCTAACTAGCGAAGTCGTCTTACACAGGAGCACCTGGAATTGATTGATGGCAGTGGTCTGTCTCACTTACTCGGGATCATGTTTAAGCATTTTGACTGCCGTTGATTTATGCTTTTGTTGAGAGATGGCAGCCAGATACGAACACGTTTCATATGCCATTTTGGGAGATCACGATCATGCTGCACGATGTGTACCCCATATTCTTAGGCTTCGTGTTGATGGTTCCATGGTTTCCACTACTCCTAGCACGTACGTCATACGGGACGTGTGCTTGGTTACCATGGATATGACTGCGGAAGAGTTGAATGAGAAGTGCGGTACTAAAACCCTTTGGCAGGGTAGTGGAGTGCTGACCTAGAGGATTTTGGATACGACTTTGGAGGCGCAGAGGCCCTTCAGTGTCCATTATAGTACCTACATGTGGTTAGTACTAGCGGATCACTGTTTTTGGACAAGAGTGGTAACCGCACCCATCCTTCCTTCCTCAACGAGCTTGTTTTTTATGATCTCTCGATTAATGAGTACTCTTGGGGTTCAGCTGCTCTAGCCTATTTGTATCGGCAGTTGGGTACGGCATCACGAAAAGATGCTGATTCGATCGCTAGTTGTCTCACGCTTCTACAAGTGTGGATCTACGAGTACTTTCTGATTAGGGGATTTTTCCCACCAATCACCATCTGACAAGTGGACCAATCAGGTTCCGCCATGTGTCCGTCACATGGGCCAATAGGAGCCTGCCACGTGTCAAGCAATGATCCATCCACTATGGACCAATTACGACACGACACGTGTCCTTCCCATGACACCTGGGATAACTGGTCACCAAGGCCCAACTTCCGAGGGAAGCCCAATCAGCCCAAGGTTAACCTAAACCTAGATTGGCACGTTTCCCGAGGTTATAAATACCTCCCTTAATCCTCATTAAGAGAAAAAAAGGCAGATTACACACATTAAACTCTCTCACCTAGAGAGACCCAATCACTTTAATTTCCGCATTAATTACTCCTTAATCAAGTACTAACTTGACCGTCGGAGGCGGATCTCCAATCATCCGGAGAATCCGTTTGTTTTGTAGGTACAGGCGTCCGGTTCCAGTCTCGAAATTGTAACTCTCCCGCAGGACATCAGAAAACCCCGAAACATTTTGGCGCCGTCTGTGGGGAGAGTACTTCTGAGATGGCATCCACGTTTGTACCGACTCCTGAAGAGAGACGTCCCCTGGACGACCCTCTAGTTCAGTCGGACCACGATACTGAGAATGAATTTGAAGTTGAAGCTCACACAGCTTCAGACGGGACCCTAAGGGCCCGACGTACCCGTCATACCGAAAGGAGGGAACGGGAACAACTTCATACAGGAAGCGAGCCAGCAGGCGCACCGCCTGTTCGGCAGCAGCCGACTGATGGGTCTGCTCCCATCACAAGGAACGAACTCATGACCTTCATGAGGGACTTCAAGGGAGAAATTCAAGAGTTGATCAACAAGAAGCCGCCTGCTCTGGACAAGGAGCAGTCGGCTAAGAAACCCTCCACTTCACAGAAGAGGAAGCCAGTTCAAGGGCGAGAGGCGACCCCTCATCCTAAATCTAGGAAGCGGGAGCCACCTGCCCTTGATTTCACAAAATACCGTTTTCCTACTCCAGGAAATAGGAAACATGTTCGTCATATTCAGGCGGACGGGTCGAGGAAAACATACACAGACGCTCGGCTACTGCTAGAGCAGAAGAAGAGTGACCGATTGTCAGAGTCGGCCTCTACTTCAAACTTCCAAGACAGTCTGCGAAATACCTCGATGAGGCATACTCAGTCGTATCATGAGAGTTAGTCAGGCGACACCTCCCGTCAGTCCGGCTATCATAGCGACCAGGCGGTACCTAACTTACCGTTTGTACCGCAACAACAGTATTTTTTACAGCCACCTCCGTTTGGTGGACATGCAGCAAAAAACGTCCAACCTATGGACTGGCAGCTACGGTTGCTTAGACTTGGTGAACAGCCGTCGGCCTTCTCCAAAGAAATTACTGAAGCCGCTCAGCCGGCCAAAGTGAAAAATGTATTAGTAGGCGCCTATGACGGCACTACTAACCCAGAAGACCATCTGATGGCATTCACCAACCTGATGTACCTTCAAGGGTTGGATGATCCCACTTGGTGCAAGTGTTTCCCAGCGACTCTCAAAGGAATCGCACAACAATGGTTCGACAACCTGCCGACTGGTTGTGTAAATAGCTTCAAGACGCTTGCTTACTTATTCACCTCCAACTTCGCCATGAACATCCCTGCGAAGAAGACGACCCTTGATTTAGGAACAATTCAGCAGGGCGAGAAGGAGGGGCTTCGTTCTTACATCAGGCGGTTTAACCTGATGAAAATACAGATTCAAGGGTTACCGGATGAAGTAGCCTATACTGACTTTTTCAGAGGTCTCAAAGACGGGTCGACCTTCAAATTTGATTTGGTCCAAAAGAGGGTGGCGACTCTTCAAGAGGCCTTGATTGAAGCGGAAGCTTATATACAGGCGACTGATCTTTGTAGTACGGTAAAACAGTCAGATGGGAGAAGGTCCGACAAAAGAGACGGACGACAGAAACAGTCGTCAAACAAAGACGAGAAGAGAAAAGAGGTCTGGGCGGCTGATTCCTCT